TGTAAAATATCTCAATCATGGCTGATTCTGTTAAAGTAATTTGAGTAATATTGTAACTAGTTTGCAATAGTAGGCAGTAGTTTCAATAAACTGATATGACAATTCAATACACCGTTCTTATTCAAAACCCAGCGGCCACAAATCAATAAGAATGGATCTGGAAAAGGTTGAGAACCTCTGATCTGAAGTTTCTGTATGTATATATTCTTCTTAAGTCTTCTACGATGTCCTTAAAAGTAAAATGTACGTCTGATACCTGAACACTATAGACAAACGTTGCGTGAATGGAATCCATAATAGAACTCATGAACAATACAGCAACCATGAGAAAACATTCCCTAACAGCGGAAAATAAAATACATTGGAAACAAAAATGTGAACATGTTGCAGTATTCTCGCCAAAAATTTGGTTGGCTCTGACTAATGCTATGGCAAAATCTTGAAAATATAATCTCTCTGAAATGAAGTAACATGTCCAAAATTGGGTTATGTAGCTGACCAACGCGCAATAAAAAGTACAACCCTTAATAAATATTGTAAGCGATAAGTTTATTTTGGCCACTTCATCAATACAGATATTGAGAACGTGAGACAGTAAATTAATAAAACTAAATGTTCCTTTTTTGTGTTTTTATGAACACAACTTGCACACTCTTAACTGTCCTTATGTCAGTAGCATGTTCGTTTCGTTTATATATTTTAACTCTGTCAAATGCTTTGACCTAATCAGTAAAAAATAACTTCGAAAAACATACATTATGATTCCAGAAAGAAGCGGAACCAGACGACACGAAAAAAAGTCCAGGTTCCAGTGTCGTCCGGTACAGTGGCAAATATGCTTTGTCCTTTTCCCCAGTCCTTCCGAATGAACGCAGGTAAAGCAGCTTACAAATAAGCCATGATTATTCTCCAATCCTTGCAAACTCCCTGTCCATAATCGTAGCCTCATTCCGTTCGACATCAAATAATCTCAACATATAATAAAACGTCCTTAAATAACAACCAACCAAACTCATCTAAACGGGCATAAAACTTTGAGGTAAAAATCACTAATTAACATGACTAAATGCGTTTGGCGAGAGTAAACACTGAGAACAGTACAGGAGAATAACCAATACCCAATCGATCACACGCATCAACTTGCCAGCACAAGCTGTCGAAAATAGGAAACCCACCCATCTATAGAAATGAGCGACTCAGGATGGGGGAACTGACTCAACGATGCGGGTTACGCCCATTTAACAATAAACAGCTCCACCGGCTTTGTGGACCGACCTACTGATGTGTAAACAAACAACACCGAAAGACTGTTACGTCATACATAAGCGCCAAGCACTGTCGTTACAAAGCGTAATTACACCGCCGAGCCGGAATAAATGATACAAGTCACGATTACACTGGAACTGTCTCACGCAAACTGTTGAATATTCGCCATATTTAGATGGCGGGTTTAAAGAGATCAGAACCTCCCCAAGACGTCTGAAATAAGATTCTTATCGACAACATTTGACTGAGTTAGCACTGCGGTAACGTGTCTGCCTGGCACTCGGTTCGAATTCCCGTTATCCTGAAAGAAGTAAAGTTTTCACGGCGGTGAGTATGAAGATTTCCGTCTTCTAGGTTGTTGCGCTGTGTAGTCTGGTCGATGTTAACCAACGTTTCAGAGGTCATACTGCCTCCGTCATCACCTCCGAAACGTTGGTAAACATCGACCAGACTACACAGCGCAACAACCCAGAGGACAGAAATCTTCATACTCATCGCCCTGATGACGGAGGCAGTATGACCTCAGAAACGTTTGTAAACATCGACCAGACTACACAGCGCAACAACCCAGAAGACAGAAATCTTCATCCTGAAAGATGTTTTCCCCAGTCCTCATGACAAATACCTTAAGTGTCTCAAAACATGCCTAAACCACTTCCTCCAACAACCAATTTCATCCATTAATGTACGACTTCAATTCGAACATGCAGCTTCGGGGGAAGCAATTATGGCCAGAGAATCTGTATGGAAGAGATCATTTGGGAGACACGGGCATAAAAGGTGGGATAACATTAGCCCGGACCTCAAGAAAATAGGGTGTAGGACAAGGACTGAGTTCGTCTAGCTCGTCAGGGCTGGGCCCAGTGGTGGACTCTTGTGAGCAGTAAATTTCCGACTGAAAATTAATCGTGCCTTCGGTCCGTACTTGTATGATTTCTACTGACAATACTAACATGTTAGTCCTGGGAACTTTAAGAGCGGGAGAGATTTTCGTAGAGATCATTGCCTTCGGAAAGTAAAACACGGCGACCACGAGAATTATACATTTTGCCTTTCGTCTGAATACGATGACTAACCTAAAGCTTATCTACTTAGCCGCGTCCGTCCCGCGGAATCTATGACACCAGTTTTCACTTATCAGCATGACAGTAAAACACCGTTACCTAACATCGACAACGCAACGCTTCTGTGCGCCATGTAACTTATCACTTCCTAGACATTATAATATTACTTATCTATCACAACAGCAGCTCGGAAGCTTCCAAAGTCCACTTTCCTCATATGAAGTGTTACCCTGAGGGCATTTTGCGGTTAACCTAAACGATTAAAGCTCATCTGCCTGCCAGTCTGTTTCCCAACATCAAGGTAACAAAGAACACCAGAACACTGGGATTTGGTTACAGTTCTTACTCCAAGTAGTTCCTAAAAATTATCGACCAGATTAAATTTTGTTCCATTTATAACAAAAGTGGACAACCACTTCATAAGAACTCCGTCGAGCAGAATCCGTCTTGGGAAGCTGTCATTCAGCTGGTTAAGAATTACGTCTTTTGT